ACAGCTAGACGTTTTAGCTTTACCATCATAATTTTTTTAAATATAATCTTGGTAATAGTTTTATCTAGAAGAGAACGCTAACTCATCAATAGTTTTCATCCAGAAGAGTATGCTAAAGTGTTGGAGCAGTTATTTATTGGAAGTATTAGGTTGATGCAAAAGTCTTTTCATTTTTTTTCGTACTTCTTTTGAAAAATAACAAAGTCATCAATTAACCTATGGTTTGCTCTAAATGAAAAGTGTTTATTGTTCAATTTCCCATCTTTTAAGTCAATTTGGGTTCACTTTCAAGCAAATTCGAGAGTGAAACGGGTTTTTCATAAAAATCTATAAAAACCTCTATAAAGAAATTGGCTGAATCAATTTCTCTGAAAATCTGAAAAAATATCTAACTTTTTGTGCTCTATCTTTTATTTATTAACATCAAGATTGGTTTCCTTAGCTAAAGCGTCTAAAATGCATCATCGAGCCGTCGCCTTTTTTGACTACCCGACTTCAGGCTCTCAAAAATCTAGACATAAGACATTTTAAACTCGTTTTAATGTCATTTTACAGAAAAATAATTGGCCTTTCGAATGCAATAAACCGTTGTTCAATTGGTGCATTTGTTACTTTTTAACGGAAGTACGAAAAAAATGAAAAAGACTTTTGCATCAACCTAATAGTTAGTTATTGGAATAGTTAGTTATTAGAGAAGTTAGATATTGAAGTAGTTAGTTATTAAAGTAGTTAGTTATTAAAGTAGTTAGTTATTAAAGTAGTTAGTTATTAGAGTAGCTAGTTATTGAACTACTTAGTTATTAGAGGCTAGTTATTAGAGTGGTTAGTTATTAGAGTAGTTAGCTATTGAAGTAGTTAGTTATTAGAGTAGTTAGTTATTAAAGTAGCTAGTTATTAGAGAAGTTAGTTATTAGAGAAGTTACTTATTAAAGTAGTTAGCTATTAAAGTAGTTAGTTATTAGAGTAGTTACTTATTAAAGTAGTTACTTATTAAAGTAGTTCGTTGTTAGAGTAAAAGCTTTTCACTTAAACTAGTTATTTTTCCAAATTAAGCCACTCTTACAGTCATTTCACTTTCAACTTCAACTCTTCAACTCCCAATAAATCTTTTGCGCGTTTCAATATTCCCTAGAAAACCCGACGCACATCAATTTTTCCATAGGAAAAAACGACGATACAATCGAATACAGTACTCTAGACAGGAGAGAGAATGTTTGAGAAAAGGAAAGGTAAAGTTTTTGTTGAGTAAAGTTGCAACGAGTTTGCGAAAAGGTAATCCGGAGAAAATCGCGCGATTGAGAGCGATTTTTAAGCTTGAAAAAGAAAAGAGAAAAATCTGATGGTAAACGGGATGAGAGTATCGCGTTTTCTTAGAAAATCACACAAGGTGCTCTTTTAGTTTTGTGTTGCGTTGGGGAATATGAAATGACGTCGATTTTCAAAAGAAACTTTTCTAAAATCGAGTATGCTTTATCAAATGACAGGTAGTATCATTGGAAAACTCCATTTATTTCTCTAAAAAATCATATATAAAATAGAACTTAAAAAGATCGTTTTTTTTTAGAGAAAATGTCTGAGAAGATCATTGCAAAATTTGGGTACTTTTGGCTGTTTTTTATATAAAATTGTTTAAGTGAAAGAAACGAGTGAAATGATAAGCTGGACTTTGATTCGTTGTGTTTAGAAATCTATAAAAATCTTAAACCACAAAACAAAAGCTTTTCGAAATCTCTTAATAGCCATTTTATAGAGCAATAATAAGTTCTTTTTGATTAGATAAACAATAAATTATATGAAGCTTTTATGCGTTTCAGGAAGAGAAGTCTTTTAAAAAGTCACTTTTAAAAGTCAATCACTTCATACTCTTTTACCTAATAGCTAATTAAATGCTTAAATGTTTTGGGGGGGTGTTTTTATTTAAACTAGTTTAAAGTTTAAAATTGGATTAGAAATTGGATTAGATTTCGAGGATCGTTTAAAACTGGAAATAAATTTTGAGGCTAACACCAGCTGAAAGTATAAAATGTTTAACAATAAACTGTTTCAAATTTGACTTTAAAAATCAGGAAACAAATTCAAATAATTGATTGACTCAAATGAAAATAAAATGCCATTCGATTGACCACTTCATTGGGTATAAATTCCGAAATTACAAAACAAGATTTATGGGCGAAGGGACGAGGTGAAGATCGTGAGATGAAAAGAAGAGAATATAGGATAGGAGAAAAGGAGAGAAGTGTGCTGCTTCTCCTTTCCTTTCCTTTCTCACTTCTCCTTTCCATCCATCGATGACAAATGGCGTTGTCGTTCTGTTGTCATTCAGATAGAGGACCCAACCCCACCACTTGACACCCCTCTTTTCTTCTCTTAACTCCTCTTTCATTCACAAAACTTTATTTCAATTGGTACGTTGAATTGAATCTAATATCAATTGTAAAATTGATCCAGAATATCTAAAAGAATCAAATGAAACAGTTATTTTCAAAACATAACTAGAGATTACTTTTGAATTATTTGAATTATTCAGTTTGCTTAAAGCTTAAAGCGTGCTTAGAGTGCTTAAAGCAAAGATTTTTTAGGAAAATTTAAAAAGATAGTATTGAACTCAAAGTCCAAACATGTCAATTAAGACATTAAGTCATAATTGACATGCTCCAGAAAAGCAGGACACGACGTCCACGTTGGTGAACCCAATAAAATTAATCGCGTCTCATCAAAGTCCAAACAGTCCAAACATTAAAACAATCAATTGAACAATATAATAATCTTTAATTAAAGAAAAAATCAGAAGTAAATGATTGAGAGAAGCAAATGGTTACTGTAAGTAGCAAGAGTTTGGATCAAAGAGAACAGTCCTTGTCTTTAGTTCATTGAGGAAAAGAGATGAGGGATATGGCCTCGAACGGGGATTCTCTTCCAAGATCGTGTCTCCAAAATCCAAAGAAAAGCAAGACACGACGTCCACGTTGGTGAACCCAATAAAATTAATCGCGTCTCATCAATTGCGCGGTGCGCGTTCAAAGTTGTGTCTGCGGGGTTGATTGTAGCATATGTTGCGTACACTCTTCTCTTTCTTTTCCACCAGCCCCCTCCCCCTCATTTTTCAAAAACCATTCGATTCGATTCTCTCTGTCAACCATTTAGGCCTGGGTTTTATAATTGAGCAGCTAGAATATCGCAATTTATTTTTAGATCTAAAATGAAAAACTTGACAAGACTATGGCTTAAGTATATAGTTACTTTTAGAATCATTTAGATCATTTAGATCAAATAGATCATTAATCAGTTGAATCATTTAGATTAACTAGATCAACTAGATCATTTAGATTAACTAGATCAACTAGATCATTTAGATTAACTAGATCATTTAGATTAACTAGATCATTTAGATCAACTAGATCCATTTAGATCAACTAGATCATTTAGAATCATTGATCATTTAAATCATTTAGATCATTTAGAATCATTTATCATTTGAATCATTGTTTAGGAATTGTATTATGAAATTTAGCCCAGTTCTATTTCATTTAGATCAATGCTTTTGTGATTCAAACCTAAACTGGTCAAGCAAAATATTCGATTAAGCAATGTCAGCAAAAGCAATGTGCTTGAAAAATCTAGTCACCCATTTTTTTTCAACATTGTGTCATTAATGATTGGCATTTGGATGAAAGGAGTCGTTTTTCAATTTGGAACTCCATATGTCCAATGAGATTTAGACAAGAAAAAAAGGTGAAGGTTGACGGGAAAGCATTCGGTTGACGGGAAAGCATTCGGTTGAAGGGAAAGCAACATGTGCACCATTTTTCACTCATGGCACATTTTCAAGTGAATTGCTCTTCTAATAACGATTCACTAAGGGGGAAAAAACGCGACTCCGCAACTTGAATCCAATTTGTTATGGTATGAAATTTGGAGAACAATATGGCTTATATCATCTTATAGAAAGTCTGAATTTGCTGAATTTGTGCTGAATTTGAAAGCTAATCTTGCCTACACAGAATGTATATTCAGCTAAAGCATTTTATAGTGTCCTAAAGGTTCAAAAGTTTTTCTTAATTGTCTTCTCTCATCCAACCACAAGCACAATTAAAAAGTAGTTGTTAAAAGTCATTTTCATGAGATAATCTGGAAGAATAAGAAGAATCTGTTTATTCAGCTCACTCCGACAACTGAGTGCAATCAGAAAGATATGAGCTTTGAAAACAAATTCAAATCTTCATCTACTTTCTTTACTCGCTTCGAGATACAAAATTGAACGAACAAACACAACAATGATGTGTATAAAAACTCACTTTTCAGAACCTTTTCGATAAATAAAGTATTGCTAGATAAAGTAATAAAGTAATAAAGTAATATATTAACAGAAGAAAGAGCCTTGTGGCTATTTGAGAGTGCTAGCAGGGCCGCTCTCTTGTTCTCCAAAAATCTACATAACAATGCACATTGACATTGACGATTCATCTCTTCAACTATTCAATAATAAAGAAAATTGCTTAAAATTTCTAAAACTGTGGAAAACAAAACGGAATTTTCTTCTTGTCAATCTGTGCGAATTTAGATTTTCCTTTGAATGCAATCATGAACAAAAGTCTTTTAACGTTGGCTTTTAGAAGTTTGTTCTTGTATATCTTGATCCAATCCGACCAATTTGCAAACGGTTAAAGTTAAATTAAAATTAAAAGATTTAAAGAGCTTATTGTCTCTAATTTTAACATTACAAAAGATGGATTTGACAATTTATCAGGTGAACTTTTTAATAAAATCAAAATTGATGGACAAAAAGTCTTTTAACCAAGGACCAAGATATTTTGTAAGAATGATGATTGTAAGAAAATTTAAATACAGTATACCCCCAACTCCTTATAGTATACCAAGGAAAGGTATTCAGCTAAGAAGCTTGAATACTTTCTGGCGAATTCTACTTAGCTAATTAAGTACAAACTTTTCACTCCGGTATTCTGTAGTGAAACAGAGCCTGGACTTTGCAGTAATCAGGGATGTGGGCCAAGAGAGCCGGTCCGCAAACCTGGTCCAGGGATTTTTGTGGGTCAAGCCCTGATTCTGTCCGGGCCCTTGTGACAATCCTGGCAGTAATTTATTCAGAAACACTTCAGGAAGCCAATAAACTCCAACTTCAACCCCATTTTCTGGTAGTGGGGAGAGCCGACCGAGAATCGTTTTGCCTCAATTCAAAAAAGAAGCCTTCAAGGTTAAAAAAAATTAAGCGTTCTTTGTGCTGGGCCCTGTAAACATGTTCTGCACTTTCTGTTGCACTAAGCTACTTTACTTCCTCTTTTCAGTTCGTCATCAAAACCACCGGCAAAGCGGGTCATTCTGGCTATCCACGTCACAATTGGAAGATTGTTTTACAGGTTTTACAAAACTAAGTAAAAGTGCATTCTTGAAAGTTTTAGATGTCTTTGCTAAAGAAATCGAACAGAAAGTCACTGTAAAGGCGTCAACTTCAACGCAACCAATTTTGGAACATGCTCCCGATGCTCCATCGTTTTGTTATCTTGCCGACTTGTTACTATTTTTCAATTGTTTTGCAAATGTTGTTACAGGTTATAAAAGATCATGATATGTTCATTTTTCGGTTTCGGTATGTTTTACTAAAACTATCAATATCTTGATTGGACCAAAGTCGAAAATCGCCAGTTTTTGTCTTCACCAAAATATTAAAAAGCTGCAGATAGCGTTTTCAGTTGTTCACAAAAAGGGCGCAGGAAAATTATGTTTAAAGTCAGACTTCGGGAAAACAAAACTTAACCAAAACCAAAACTACCAAAACCAAAACCATAACAAAACCAAAACCAAAACAGACCAAAACCAAAACCAAAACCAAAACTAACCAAAACTCGCCAATATCTCGCGACTGGGAGGAGCTAGCGAAAATCTGTTTGCAGATTTGAAATCAGCATCCAAAAATCTATCCCATATGCTATTTTTTGTTTCGAAATTTCGAGGTCGTGTTTTGGTCCTTTTTTCGGCCGCGAGATTTTGTGGAGTGAGAAAAAGTGAAAGGCTAATTTGCATTTTACATTAAAATTTGCATTTTGCAATTTTAAATTTGCATTTTACATTAAAATTTGCATTTTGCAATTTTAAATTTACATTTTTACAATTTCAAATTTACATGTTAATTTATATGCAAATTGGAGTTTTGGTTTGTTTTGGTTTGTTTTGGTGTTTTGGTTTTGGTTTTGGTTTTGGTTTTGGTCTGTTTTGCTTTTGGTTTTGTTTGCCGAAGTCTAGTTTAAAGCCTTTTCAAAAAAATTTTCATTAGTTCGGCCGACAAACGGCTCAACGTCAAAATTTATGCGGAAAAACTATAATTGGCATCCCCAAATTTGTTTGATTGTAAATTTGAATTTAAATCTCATGGAGACAGCGGCCAAATGTTAGCAAATCATTTTCGATTGCAAGCAAACCAGGTTCTGTTTCTTATTACTTGTCCTAGAATTTTAGGGATCTGCTTTGTCAGATTCTGCCATATTCGGTCAGATGTTTTAATTTTGATTTAGCATCTGGTGTGGCCTCTCCTGATGATGATTCTCATCTACGCTTTGCCGATTTTACTGAGTTAGTCAGCATTGGATTCGGTTCCATTCAATTTCGTGTTTTAGTCCTTTTGCGGTTGGATGTGGTAGAAAGAAAACGCCTAGAGGATCGATACGCCGTCCAAAAGCGTCGAAGGCTAGAACTGCCGTGGGAAATGAGAAGCTGGGGCCAGCTTCATTGGTTCCCGCTTCCACAGGTTTTTTTTATTTCGAATCTTCCAAGTCACATTTTACAGTCAACGCCAAAGAAGGCAGAAAGCAAGCACGATGTGAAGCATGAGGCAAATTTTTCTTATTTTCTATTACCTAAGATATTTTTAGAAAGGTTTCTTCTTCGCAGAAAAGAGCTGCAAAAGTGAGAAGAAAGCTCGGAGACTAAAGAGACAAGCGTGAGGAGGAGATCCTTCCAAAACCAATCCATCGAACTGAAAAAGCGGTAGACTTTTGCAAAGCGAAAAGCCGTTAAACTGTTTGAATTTTTAGGAAGCAATCGTGAGGAAAAGCGACTATCCAACTTTCAACGATATCTTGAGTGACCGTGACTGGGAGAGCAAAAGCAAGCAGGTGCTGTTAATTTCTACGGATTAGGATCGGGGTGATTTATTGCTTTTTGTTTTAGAGCGCTTCCAGAAAATCCGAAATGAAGCTCGACCGAGATCTCAAGAAGGAAAAGAAGGAAAATCCTTTACAGGACTAGTGTATTGAGCAGCAATAAATTTCGAAATATGCCGTCCATTCACTAAAATAATGAAAAAGTCCAGTGAAAAATAACCGGCCTATCAAATAAAGTTTTTTAATCTTATCGATTCCGCCCTGTTAATCTTATTGATTCCACAATTCAAGTTTATTGGAGAATCTCTCGCATTATGAGAACCCACCCACCAACCAAAAAGCATTGGTCACCATAAAATAAAAGATCACTACGCCCCTGTATATTAGAAAAACCTCATTCCCTAACATACAGGGCGGTAGCAAAAATGCAAAAACCATTCTCGATTTTTTTGCGATTTTTTACAATAATAAAAGAACAATAGGGAAATTAACTTGTTTAACCCCTATGTAATGGCCTTGGATGAGGCGGTGGAATCTCGATTTGCGCCTGATGCATAAAGCTTTGCGGATTGCCCGGCATCGTTATGACCTTTGCTGGGACTAAGAATGCCACCCTCGGGAACCCCCTAGTACGCCTCCTAAAATTCCACACCAAAGGTGAGCCCGCTTTCTACCTTCACCTGGAGATCTTTCGGACAAGCAGGCTACCATCCACCCTTACTGTAAGAAATTTGAGCTTGGGTTTGAGTTTTTATACATATTTCTAGACTTTCGCTTGTCATCCTAAATCAAGAAGAATTGGTGGTGACCTTTAACCTTTTTGGAGTGTATAGTTTCAAAGTCCAGGAGTCGATTTGTAATTTGCTGTAATTCTGATGGGCGGATTCAAGATGAAAATTCGAGGCAATACAAAGAGCATAATGATGGCAAAATGGTCGGTTTTATTTTCCTACTTTGGCAAGTTCTTTTTTCTAGTGTGCAAAGCTGCTTGCTATTAATCGAAACCAGAACGCACTGGATGAGGAAGAAAGAATGACAAGTGAAATGCTGTTTAAATTGAATCTTTATTTTTACAGACTCAAACTCCTAAATATCGTGATTTATCTTGGGCTCGCCGACTCGAGGTACCCTACGTAAAAGACACTCGGGCTTTTACTGGCCAACTTTCGACCCAGTTGATGTTGTAATCGATTACGAAGAAAGATAAAAACAATGAAAAGTTAGTCTTTATAAAAGTTTATTTATTTTCTCGTCCAAATTTCCTAACCTACCTAGTTATTTTAGAGTTTATTCCCATCAAGGAGATGACACCAAATTGAGTCTGGATCGACTCCCTTGGGAAGTCTGCAAGAAGGGCACATGATACTTGATGATAATATTGAAGATTGTACGTAAGTTATCCATTAAATTTTTTGCAAAAGAAGAAGGAAAAAGTGTATTGTGAAGTGAAATGCTTTTAAACAACTGGTTTACCGTACGTACAATCCCAACTTTTTGTTCGACTTTCACTATCATGCTGAGAATATTCCAACGGCTGACTACTTTTTGTTCTATTCGTTGCAACAGCGGTCGTTGATGAATCAAACAAGGTGCAGTCAAGAGCAAATGTCACGTAAACCATTTTAGATAATACATTCAATTTAGTGGCACATGGCTTTATGGGGCGATTCGCGATTCACCACTCAAAACCGAGGCCAGTTCTGAACGAGGAAGAAATGATACCGATTCAATACATTAAACAATATGGACCGATGAACACGTTCTGATGGATCGAATCTGATGGAGTCAACCATATGGTTATTTTTGATTTATTTGTAGTTACATTCAAATTTTAGCTGTTCTCCAGGCCTGCCTTGGTTATTCAAAGTACTCGTACAGTTGGCGCTCATTGAAGGGAACGAAATTTCACGAAGCGCACGGGAAAAAGTATCACTTTGGAAGCTTTAAGGTAAATTTTGAACTTTGAATTCCTGCTTCAACTAAATTTTGAGCAAGGGGACGTCTTGGGATGCTTACTTCATCTACCACACGATAACATTCATCCTTCAAGTGAAACCTTCATTTTATAGCTTCTTGACAGCATTTATTCTAGGAAGCTCATCCGATTACCCTCCCGGTCACGCACAAAGATGTTGAAACTGCCGGAGTAGATTGTTCTATCCAGAGCTTAACTGCGATTGACCTTTTGATCTGTCCTTAAAATTGTTCAAATCTAATATTGCAATTAATTACAGTATCCCTCTAGGATTAGCATCAAAAAAGCTGCAAAAATGATTCAATTTTCGTATTCTGAACGAGCAAAGTGGTAAGACCAAAATTCACAAAAAGTTACAAGTGAAAAAGCCAAAAGCAAACTCACTCGTCCGTCGAACTAGAGCGAGTGACAAAGAGAAAGAAGAGTCGCCAAGCCGAGATCAGGATCAGGGCAGAACACTCCGTCACCTCCACCAACGAAAGCTGCAAAAGGAGGAAAAAACCTCAGCTTCCGAGAAACATAAGGTAGAAGATTTTTATGTTTACATAAGGTAGAAGATTTTTATGTTTACCTATACCTGTGTTAGTTGCTTTAAAACAAGTTTTATTATTGTTTTTAGGAACCAAATAAAGCCGAGACTGGAGTGATAGAAAGCAGAAAGGATTCAAAAGATGACACCGTTCCTGGGGCTGAGCAGCAAGTATGGTTTAATCTTGTTCTT